TTGACCTATAGTACCACTTCAGGCTTTTTGGTGAGTACTTGGAGATAAAAGTTTCCAGAACTTTCTTGCCCAGGCTGGCTTCAAACCTAGATCCTCAGATCACAGGCTCCTGAGTAGCTAAGATTACAGGTGTGAGCCACTAGCACCTGGCAAAACCTTGCAATTTTTTTTTATGGTTCTGGGGCTTGAACTTAGGGCTTAGGCACTGTCCCTGAGCTTTTGTACTCAAAGCTAATGCTCTACCTGTTGAATAACACCTCCACCTCTGGCTTTTGGTGGTTAATGGAGATAAGAGTCTTATGGAGGGGCTGGGAAGGTGGCTCAGTGATAGAGCGCTTGCCTTGCATGCCTGAGGCCCTGAGTTCAATTCCTCAGCACCACATAAGCAAAAAGAAAAAAGCCAGAAGTGGCGCTGTGGCTCATGTGGTAGAGTGCTAGCCTTGAGCTAAAGAGCTGAGGGACAGCGCCCAGGCCCAGAGTTCAAGGCCCACGACCGGACCCCCCCCCCCAAAAAAAAAAAAGAGTCTTATGGACTTTTTTTCCCAGGCTTGCTTTGAACAGCAATCCTCAGATCTCAGCCTCCTGAGTAGCTAGGATTACAGGCGTGAAACACCAGCACCTGGCCCCATCGTATTTTTTGTTTAGTCTATTAACATACAAAAGTTGCTTAAACGACTGGAAAACTAATGTGCTTGTTAGGTACAGATGTCTCTTCTGTTGTTGTGTGAGGTGTTTGAAGGCCAACTACTATATTTCAACTCTATGAAACGTAGTTTAAAATCTATTAGAGAATTTAATTACCTAAGTTTATCACTGGCATCCATTCTTAGAAAAATTTAATCTGTTGAACTTATGAGTTAATTAAATATTAATCACAGAATAGTGAAGCAATTGTTATTATTTTATAAAAATGGTAGATTTACAAATAGAAAACTAGATTTGCAAGTTGTACTTGGGTGCTTAAGAAAACAAGTTTTTTTTTTTTAAATTTATATATTTAATAAACACAGCATTAATTTAAACACAAGCAGCAGTAGGTGGCTTCTTGCTGCACAGAAGCCATTCTGCAGCATTGTAGAGACTTCTCTGCCTTTGCTTCTGTGGGTCTTTCTGCTTGTAATAGCCCCAAAACATGGGAAAGTTTGACTTTTCCCAAAAGGCCTGGCTCACATTCTTTTTTTTTTTTTTTTTGGGGGGGGGGGTGTTTGGTCGTGGGGCCTAAACTCTGGGCCTGGGCACTGTCCCTCAGCTTTTCAGCTCAAGGCTAGCGCTCTACCACTTGAGCCACAGCGCTACTTCCGGGTTTTTTCCTTTTTGCTTATGTGGTGCTGAGGAATTGAACCCAGGGCCTCAGGCATGCAAGGCAAGTGCTCTACCACTGAGCCACCTTCCCAGCCCCCTGGCTCACATTCTGTGAATACTTTCTCCCTAGCCTTATTAGAATCCTGCTTCTTAGCCAGAGGTGGTAGCATAAGCCTATAATCCCAGCTGCTTGGGTGAGGAGATAGGAGGATCATGGTCTAAAGCTAGCCTGGATAAAAAGGTCAGACTTTTTCTGAAAACCTAACTAAAGCAAAAAGGGTTGGGGAATGTGTGATTCAAGGGACAGAGTGCTTTCTCACAAGCACTGAGTTCAGTCTCCAGTACCATCAATCAATAAATAGATAAGTAAAACAATTCTGCTTCCTTGCTTACAATTACTTGTGTGTGTAGCCCAGGCCTCCTCTAGATCAGGCCATGGAGGGCTGCTGGCTGGACCATCACTACACGTGAGAACACAGCTGAGTCCTGGCCAAAAGAGAGAGAAGGGGCTGGGCAGCATTGGCTCATGCCTGTAATCCTAGCTACTCAGGAGGCTGAGATCTGAGGATCGTGGTTCAAAGCCAGCCTGGGCAGGAATGCCCATGAAGCTCTTATCTCCAATTAACCACCAGAAAACTGGAGGTGGTGCTGTGGTTCAAGTGGTAGAGCACTCGCCTTGAGCTGAAGAGCTGAGGGACAGTGCTCAGGCACAGTTTAAGCCCCACGACCAACCAACGAGAGAGAGAGAGAGAGAGAGAGAGAGAGAGAGAGGGAGAGGGAGACAGAGACAGAGAGAGAGAAGGGGGCTGGTACACAGTGGGCATCCATGGTACAAGGCCTTGAGTACAATACAGTTAATTTCAGTTATTTCAGTCCCTGGGTGGAAGGAAGCCTTCTCTCCTTTTTTTTTTTTGGTGAGTCATGGGGCTTGAACTCCAAGCCTGGGTGCTGTACCTGAACTCTTCAGCTAAAGGTGAGCATTGAGCCACAGTGCCACTTCCGGTTTTCTGGTGGTTAACTGGAGATAAGAGTCTCATGGACTTAACTACCCAGACTGGCTTTGAACCGTGATCCTCAGATCTCAGCCTCCTGAGTAGCTAGGATTACAAGCATGAGCCACCAGCGAGCTCCTGGCAGTAAGCCTTCTCTTTAGCCATCAAGATTTTCTTTGGCTGGGACCCAAAAGGTCCCCTCCTTCCATTCCCTGGGAAAGAGTGTAGCAGACAGAATAAAGGCCCTTCTGAGACACTGCCAACCTCAACCAACGGCAAAGGGCAATTAAGATTGGAAACCAGGTGAACCAAGTAAGAGAGCTGATCATGGATTATCTGAGTGGTCTTGAGAGTAAAGAGGGATAGAGAAGAAGCAGAAGGAGAGGTCTCAGTGCTACAAGAGATGGAAAGGAGATGCATGAAGCTGGCTCTGAGGCTGCAGGCAGGGGCGACGGGTCAAGGCATGTGGGTGTCTCCTGAAGCTGGAAAAGGCCCCGGAGGGTAGCTTCTAGGAACACAGCCCTGCTGATGCCAGGTTTCAGTGACTCATGTCAGATTTCTGTCCTACAGAACTTGAAGGTGATACAGTTGTGCTGTTTAAGCTGCTAGATCTGGGCTGGTATTACAGTACGACCCTAGGAAATGAAGTCCCACTGTCATTCTCTCCTGCCTCATTTCATGATCATGAATCGGTGACATCCACAGAGCTGCCCTGAGAGGCAGATGGAAGCTGAGGACCTCAGATCCTCAGGAGCTTGTGTCCTGCAGGTGTCAGGTATCTGTCGCCCAGGCAACCACTGCAATGGCTCCTCCTTGCTGAGGAGTGGAGGTGGGCACTCCTCCTCTCCTCTCTGCCCTATAAACCTTCCTAGCCTGAGTCTCTCATGTGACCTTTTTGGGACAGAGTGTGGGAGTTGCTGGGGTTCCTGGGATATAGCCCCTGTTTCTGGGCCCCTAAACTTCTGCCTTTGCTCCATCCCAGGCAAACTGCTCACTACCCTCCTCCTTGGCAGCTCTCATTCCCCAGGCACTGTCTCAATACCTCAGAGAGCACAGGAAGCTGGGGTGGACCCTAGGGCAGCGAAGCCAGCCCTGGGATCTTCTCTGAACCCTGGCTCCCTACTCCCAGACAGTGATTTCCCCTTCCTCTTCCAGGGCAATGCCGGAGGATCAAGCCCAGGGCTTCTATATACTAAGCAAGCTCTCTAACCCATACACATAATGTGTCTATTAAAAAGTTAGCTACTGAGTTTAGGCCCTACGACCAGACCCCCCCCCCGCCAAAAAAAAAAAAAAAGTTAGCTACTGGTAGAGTGCTTGCCTAGCATGCATGAAGCTCTGGGTTTGATTCCTCAGTACCACATGAATAGAAAAAGCTGGAAGTGGGCTGGGAAGGTGGCTCAGTAGTAGAGTGCTTGCCTTGCATGCATGAGGCCCTGGGTTCAATTCTTTAGCACCACATAAGCAGAAAAAGTTGGAAGTGGCATTGTGGTGCTGTAGCTCAAGTGGTAGAGTGCTAGCCTTGAGCTGAAGAGCTAAGGGACAGCACCCAGGTCCAGGGTTCAGGCCCACGACTGACCCCCCCCCCCCAAAAAAAAAAAAAAAGCTGGAAGTGGTGCTGTGGCTCAAGTGGTGGAGTGCTAACCTTGATCAAAAGAAACTCAGGGACAGTGCCTGGGCCCTGAGTTCAAGCCCCAAGACTGGCAAAAAAAAAAAAAGTTATCTCTGAGCTTGAGCGCTGGTGGCTCTGACCTGTAATCCTAGCTATTCAGGAGATTGAGATCTGAGGATAGCGGCAAAAAGAAAGTTCATGAGACTTTTACCTCCAATTAACCACCAAAAAGCCAGGAGTGGAGCTGTGGCTCTAGTGGTAGAGCACTAGTCTTGAGCAGAAAAAGCTCAGGGATGGTGCCCAGGCCCTGAGTTCAAGTACAGACACAAATGACATACAGAAAAGTTACTTTTCACCAGGTGTTGGTGGCTCCCGACTGTAATCCTAGCTACTCAGGAGGCTGAGATCTGAGGATTGCAGTTCAAAGCCAGTCCAGGGCAGGAAAGTCCCTGAGACTCTTATCTCCAATTAACCGCCAGAAAACCAGAGGTGGCGCCGTGGCTTAAGTGGTAGAGTGCTCGCCTTGAGCTGAAGAGCTGAGGGGCAGCGCCCGGGCCCAGAGTTCAAGCCCCACGACTGACAAAATAAAAATAAAAAAAGTAGTTTGCAAAGAGATAGGGAAAATGTCAAGAAACGTGTTACCCAGTTCCACTGGAGGGCTCAGAACCCTGGCACCCAGGTTTCTGACTTCTCATGCCACCATTTCCACACTGGCCTCCCCAGCAGCTCCCCAGCCCGGGGCCAAGGCCCGGAACAGGCCCTTCCCGTCCTCAAGTTCAGGGCCCCTATCATCTCCCCGCGGCCGATCGCCGGGACCCGCGGCTCCGGGGCTGGGCGCCGGGCGGCCCCGGGCAACACAAGCTCGGGTCCCTACAGCGGCCGTGGGAGCCGCTCGAGGACCGGCGGCAGCGCATTGTGCAGGAGGCCCGGGGAGAAGTTGGCGGCGCGGGCCCGGGCGCGGGCGGGGCGGGACAGGGCGGGACGGGGCGGGGCGCGCACGTGTGGAGACGAGTGCGTGTGCCCATCCGGCGGCCCGGACTACAAGTTCCAGGGTGCCCAGCGGCGCGCCCGGGTTCGCTGCCTGCGCCGCCCGCCGGTTCCAAGCAGGTCACCACCGGCTGGCACGAGCCGCCCGGTCCCCAAGTAGAGAAGGGAGCGACTCTCCCGAGCACCGGCCGCCGAGTCCAAGTGGGCGGGGACCCGCCTCGCGCCGCCCGCTCATGTCTCTGCGGAGCGCCGCGTCCGGCCGCCTGGCACCGCTGCGCGCCGCGGGGCAGCTGCTGGTCGTCGCCCCGCGCCCCCGGCCCGGCCCCTCGGCGGGGGCCACGCGAACCCGCGGCGCTGCGTGCGGCCCCCCGGCGTCCCCGGGCGCGCACGCCCCCCGCGCGTGGGCCTCGGCGGGAGTTGGGGCGTGGGGGGCGGCGGCGGCGGGGCGGAGAGCCGGGGTGCGCACCTGGGCCCCCCTGGCCATGGCGGCGAAGGTGGACCTGAGTACTTCCACCGACTGGAAGGAGGCCAAATGTAAGTGCGAGCCGCCGGCAGACACTTGGGGAAGTTGAGGCCCGCTCTGCCCTGGGATAGACACCCTCCCGCACTTCAGCCACGCTTCCCCTTCCCCAGAGTCCCCCTCCCCCCCCCCCCCCCCCCCCCCCCCCCCCCGCCCACCAGGTCTCATCTCCAGTCTGGGGCAGTGTGTAGCGCCTCACCCCTGCAATGAGTCCCAGGCACACACACCCCCTCCCCGCAGGGAGCACCCAGGATTTCTATCACCTTTACTCCGTCGTGCAGGGAGGGAAACTGAGGCACGGAGCCAGAGCCTCTTCACCAAGGTCACTCGGTGGGGTTAGCAGAAGGAAGTTCTGTAGGACTCCTTGACCAACCTCGGGCTGGGCCTGGAGTAGCTCTCCCGGGGTGTCTGAGTGGCAGGTCTGTGGCCTGTGGCCCGTGGCCCGCCTGGGTGAGGGGCAAGGTGGTTTCATGGGGCGGCCTCCCATGGCAGGCCTGCCCTGTACCCTCCCTCCCTGCCCATTCCCATGGCTGGCTTCGGGCCACCTGCTGGCGGTCTTTGCCCCATTCCTTCTGGACTGAAGTAAGAAGGCCAGGGGAAGGGAGAGCAGGTGGGAGATGTGTGTGTGTGTGTGTGTGTGTGTGTGTGTGTGTGTGTGTGTGTGTGTGTGTGTGTGTGTGTGTGTGTGTGTGTGTGTGTGTGCGTGCATGCACGTGACTGCCAGGACCTCTGTACCCCCAAGAAGCAAATTGCTTCACCTTCTGGGTGAGCAGGGGTGGTGGACCCGGCCTCCACTCCTGCACTGGCCAAGTCTCTGCCCTGGGGAGGGAAGAGCAGGGACCTGCCGAGCCCCAAATAGCCCTGCCTGGTGCCCAGCTGCCCCTGCCCTTCAGGCCTGCCTGCTGGAGCAGCTTCTGCCCTCTAGATCCCGTTTCCAGAGCACTAGGAGGGAAGCTCATTGGCTGGGCTGCTGGGGGGTGGGACCCTGAGCTGGGCAGGTGGCCTGACTGGCAGGGGTTGGGGATCAAGCAAGGTGGCCCATTTGGGACTGGTGACAGACGCTTTTGGCTCCGGGCCCTGGAGTCCTGAAGCACCAGATGCTATTCTGAACAGTCAGAACCTGTCACACTTTCAGTCCTGGCCCTGGAAAATGGCTCAGGACAGGAAGTGGGAGCTGCTGGTGGTGGTGGGGGACCCCTGGCAAGCAGGTGTCACTGTCTCTCCAGAGAATTTCTTCTTGTTGGAGACCAGCTCCCTGGGTTGGTGCAAGGGCCAGAGAGGTGGGGCTGACACCAGTTTCCAGTTCTGCAAAAGTTTCTATGACTCAGTTCCCCTTCTCCCAGCTCCCCCCATCTGCCTGTGACCCTAAAAATAACAGGACCCCAGGAAGCCAAAGGGGGGGGGGCAAGGGGTCCCAGTCTGCTGTGCTCTTGCTGTAGTTTTTCTCCTCTCTGCTGGAAGCTGAGATTCTTAACATTCCTTGAGCAAATTTGTGTGCCTCCGGTGTGGCCTGTGTGTGCCAGAGATTCAGCTCCTCTGGACGCCCAGGGCCGTCCCCAAGAAGCTTGTACTCTGGTAGGTGACAGGAATGTCTGGAGACGAGGGGCAGTAGGTGCTGTAAAGAAGCTGTTGATGATCTGGACGCTGGTGGCTCCCACCTGTTGACCTTTAGTGCTCAAAGCTAGTGCTCTACCACTTGAGCCACAGCTCCACTTCAGGTTTTCTGGTGGTTCATAAGGGTTTTATGGACTTTCCTGCCCATGAGATCCTCAGATCTCAGCCTCCTGAGTAGCTAGGATTATAGGCATGAATCACTGGCCTGGGCTATTCTCCTTTTTTTTTTTTTTTTGTTGGTTGTGGGCTTGAACTCTGGGCCTGGGCGCTGTCCCTCAGCTCCTCAGCTCAAGGCCAGCGCTCTACCACTTGAGCCACAGCTCCACTTCTGGTTTTTCTAAGTGCTTTATTGGAGATAAGAGTCTCATGGACTTTCCTGCCCAGGCTGGCTTTGCACCTCGATCCTCAGCTCTCAGCCTCCTGAGTAGCTAGGATTACAGGTGTGAGCCACCCGACACCTGGCTGGGCTATTCTCCTTTTGAAAGGCATTTTTGAGTTATATGGGAAGCTGCTCTGGCCCCACCCCACTCTAGGGCAAAGCCGAGTGCTAAGAGAAGAAAGGGTATTAACGTCTTCACACCTAGGTCCTGTTCTGCCCTCCTGGAGCCTGACTCCAGTCTAGGAGATGGGACCAACAGCACCTGCTATGGGACAGCCCTCCCGGGCCCACTTCTGCGTGGGGCCTGGCGCCCCTGGCTTCTTGCAGGCCTCACCCCCAGGGCTCCCATCACTGCTTACGCTGAGCTTCCCCAGTGGTTGAGGAGTTTGTGGGCTCCAGCTGCAGACACACTGGGCAGGGGTGACTGCCGAGTAGGTACAGTTTCCAGGCAAACCTGGGCAAGTAGCCTTGGCATTGTCTTGGTGTGGACTGTGGGGGGGGGGTGGTCCACGTGTCACTGAGTTCCGGGCACCCCCATCTTACTGGCCCTGCCACCCTGCATCCTGCGGAAGCGTGGCTCCCTGGCACCCAGCCTACCCTTGCCTCTCTCCACCCCATCTTGCATAGTGCCATAAAGATGCTTCTTAAAACACATCATTGAATTCCCGTTTGCCCGTCGCACTTTATGACTCTGGCGGAGCCTGCTTCTTCCCGCCCAGCTTTCGTGCCCAGAGCTCCTGGAAGCTTCAGCCCGGGTCAGGCCTCCCATCAAAATTTACTGCGAGCATCTTTTTACAACACCTGTCTCAGTGAGCTGTGAAATACACTTGCCTTTCCAAAACTGAAAGAACATGAAAATGCAGGTTTTACATCTTTTAGAAAAAAAAATAAAGTGCACTTGTGCTTTAAGTCCACATCTGTCCTGACACGTGAGAGGGCGGTGGGGCGCCGGGCTCCAGCTTCTTGCGGAGATGGAGATGGGTATGGGGGTTTGGCCCCTGACATGGGAAGTTGGGGTGATGAATGTGGTGCATGGTCCTCCAGGTGGAGAAATATCACAATTGGCACTGAGGTACCAGTGGCTCACGCCTGTAATCCTAGCTACTGAGGAGGCTGAAATCTGAGGATTGTGGGTGGAAGCCAGCTCAGGCATGAATGTCTGTGAGACCCTTATTTCCAGTTAACCACCAACAAAGCTGCAAGTGGAACTGTGGCTCAAGTGATAGAGTACTATCAGTGAGCAAAAAAAGCTCAAAGACAGCACCTGGTCCCTAAGTTTAAGTCCCAGGACTAGAACAACAAAAAGCCACAGACACCAGTAGCTCACGCCTGTAATCCTAGCTACTCAGGAGACTGAGATCTGAGACTCATAGTTCAGAGCCGGCCCAGGCAAGGAAGTCTTTGAGACTCTTATCTGCAATGAGCTACCAGAAAACCAGAAGCGGAGCTTTGGTTCAAAGTGGTAGAGTGCTATCTTTGAGCACAAAGGAGCTCAGGACAGTGCCCAGGATCTGAGTTCAAGCCCCATGACCACCAAAAAAAAAAAAAAGAATCACACTTGGCTTTTTCTTCTCCCATAGATCAGACCAGGCCAGAACACAGCTCCCGGCATGCCTGGCTTTTTGAGTCTAAGGCATGCACTGGGGCCTGGCCCAGGCAGGGACGGGTTGACTGATGTCCCCAAGGTCAGCACCAACTGACTGGCACCAGTGCCAGTGTGCAGTCTCTGGATGGCAGGGCCGACATTGGGCACTGAGGCCAGGCCATGGAAGACAGCCCCACCCCACGTTCCTTTCATTGCTGCGTCCAGGGACACGTCCCACTGCCTCGCTCTAACCCAACATGGAAATAGCTGACACAGGATGTCTGCTAGCAGACCTGGGGTGTCCCTGGGCATCTGGATTTATATCATGAGATGCCCAGGGCCTGTGCCAGCTGGTACCTCAGCATGTGTGTCTTTTGCTGTGCCTTGTTCTGTTGGCCCCATGGAGAATGGTCACGGGGCAGCGCCTGCCTGGTCTGTGCAGAGGTGAGGAGATGCAGCTGGAGGCTGAGCATCTCGCTAGTGTGGAGGGGAGCTCCGAGGTGGACTGGGCTGCTCTCCCTTACTCTGCAGCAGGTGTTAGTCTCCCTCCTTTTTGTTCCCCCCCCCCCCACCTCTGCACCTACACCTCTCTACCTGGGAGACTCATCTCTTTGGCCAACTTACCTTCGGCCTCACGTCTCAGTTCACCCATTTATTGATTCATCCTGCAATCATGCTGTGCATGGATTTGTCTGTCTGGGCTGGTTTTGATCTGAGATCCTCAGATCTCAGTCTCCTGAGTAGCTAGTATTACAGGTGTGAACCATTGGCACCTGGCTTTACCTGACTGAGAACTGAATGGTGTATGGCCAGGGATGGGGGGAGATGTATTTAGGAGGAGGTTGGGGACAGAAATAGGGGCGGTCACATGGGCCAGACCTTAAGCTTAGGGAGCTGGGTCTTACAGAAGAAGGGTAGGCTCTAGTTTGTAGTCCTAGGCTCACGCCTGTAGTCCTAGCTACTTGGGAGGCTGCGATCTGAGGATTGTGATACAAAGCCAGCCAGGGCAGGAAAGTCCCTAAAGCTCTTATTCACACTTAGCCAGCAAAAAGTCATAAGTGAGGGTGTGGCTGCCTTGATTGGGAAAAGCTAAGTGAGTGCAAGCTCCTGAGTTAAAGCCCCAATACTGGTAACACACACACAAAATATAGTCCTAGGCTCCCTGGGCATCTGTGAGGAAAAGGTCAAAGGGGAGATGCATGCTATGCTGGGGACAGATGGGGGACCAGGAAGTGACAAGGGGGCTCGCCCGAGGGGGTCAGAGGAAGGCTTGGTTTCTGGAGTATTGTGGGAAGAATGGGTAAATCTGCACCTGGATGAGCGAATTCTTCTGATCACCTGTGGTGAAGTGATCTTTTCTTTTGTGTGTGTGTGGGGGGGGGGGGGGATTTTGCTGGTTAATTAGAGACGATATTCTCACAGAATTACCTACCTGGGCTGACTTGGAACTGTGATCCTCAGATCCCAGTCTTCTGAGTAACTAGGATTACAGGCATGAGCCACAGATGCTGGCTCATTGTGGTGCTCTTGACTTTGACCTTGGTCTTGGTGGATCAAGGGGTGGGCCGCTGGGAGGTGGGAGGAGGAGCCGGAGGAGGCTTGGGAAGGAAGGAGGGAGGGAGGTAGCTGCCGCTGGAATGTGGGGCTGTTGGAGGGCAGTCAGGGCACCGAGGTGGGCGTGGAGCAGAGGCAGGGGAGCTGAGGGAGCACTAGAGGGTGAGCCAGTCTCTGGGAGGAAGGGTCCTCCTGCCCAATGACCTGAGGGAGGGCAGACAAGGTGCGGGTGGCAGGCAGGCTTGGGGGGCGGGGAGCGGGGGGGTGGGAAGTGGCCTCGGGTGACTGGTTTCTGAGTGTATGTCGGCAGGGGGTCCATTTCCTTGGCCCTGGAACTTAGAGGAAGGCTCTAACCCCAGGACCCCCTTCCCTCCTCCCCTCCCAGGAACCTGCCTGCACTCCTGGACACAGAGCAGAATGGTTGGATCACTTCTCTACCCTTCTCCATCAGGCCCCAGAACCTCAATTGTACCTTTGACCCCTAGACCTGGTGTCCAGTGGTGTCTCATAAATAGTTATTAACCGTTCCACAGGCAAACTGCCAGCCAGGGGCAGAGCCCCCGTGTGCCCTCCCCTGCACCGTGCGGCTCCAGCCTCCGACAGGTGCTGCCAGCCAAGCCCATCTGCTGAGAAGCAGGGGCAGGAGATGGCCCCCTCCACACCCCAGCCCTGCACCCCATCCCAGATCTGTACCCTGCCCCAGGAAAGGTGCCTTTAGGTGGGGCCTGGGCTGTTCCTCAGCTGCTGGGGTCCTGAGCCTCTGGGGAGGAGGGGCTCTGGATTTAGAGGTGCCACAGGAGCCCTTTCCTCACTGAAAGAATAAAAGGGTGGGGCATATGTACACCACACACGCACACACACAAGCACACATACACACACACACACACAGACACAGAGGGTCTGATCTTTGGGGAGCAATCTTAAGCTGTATCTAGTGAAATAATTTTGTTTTCTGGTTACCCATATTCGGACTTGAACTCAGGGTCTTATGCTCTTTTTTTTTTTTGGTCGTGGGGCCTGAACTCTGGACTTGGGCGCTGTCCCTCAGCTTTTCAGCTCAAGGCTAGCGCTCTACCACTTGAGCCACAGCACCACTTCCGGCTTTTTCTGCCTATGAGGAATCAAACCCAGGGCCTTGTGCACGCAAGGCAAGCACTCTGCCACTGAGCCACCTTCCCAGCCCCATGCTCTTTTTCTTTTTTTTTTAATTTAATTTTATTTGTGAACATACTGTACAGAGGGGTTACAATTACATGGGCAGGATAATGCGTACATTTCTGTTTTTTTTTTTTTTCTGTTTGGTCGGTCGTGGGGCTTGAACTCTGGGCCTGGGCGCTGTCCCTCAGCTCTTCAGCTCAAGGTGAGCACTCTACCACTTGAGCTACAGCGCCACTTCCGGTTTTCTAATGGTTTATTGGAGATAGGAGTCTCAGGATCTCTCCTGCCCGGGCTGGCTTTGAACCGCGATCCTCAGATCTCAGCCTCTTGAGTAGCTAGGATTACAGGTGTGAGCCACCAGCGCCCGGCTAATGCGTACATTTCTTACCAAGCATTGCAGCCTCCTCCTTTGTTTACCCTTCACCTCCCTTCCCAGCCTCCCCCCTCTCCCCCATCCCAATCCTTCTCCTTCCCCCCCTTCCCCCCCTCCCACCGACGTTGTAAAGCTCGTTTTGGACATGACAACTTGTACTTCTCATTGTTGCAACAGGTCCACCTGTATCCTTAAACAACTGGTTTTTCCCCATCTCCTCCACAAGTTATACTGACATCAAATATAGTGAAAGCAGGGGTTATACTGTGGGGGAGGGACATACAAAGCAACAAAGAGATAATCTTACAAATGCGTTAGAAACACATGCATGAAAGAAAAAAACATTAATCTAAGGGTTCATTTTCCTGACATCACATTATCTGACCTTTTCCGCTTGACTCATACATATACTAGATATTGCAAATAAGGGAAACCATGGGACCTATGTTTCTTTTCTTTTTTTTTTTTTTTTTGCATAAGGCTAGTGCTCTACCACTTGAGCCACATCTCACTACCCCTTCCATCTTTTTTGCTGGTTTCTTGAGTTCTGTTGGCTTGCTCCATCTGGACAGCCAGCCCATGGTGGAGGGGGGACGGGGCTAGCTGAGCCTGGGCACACAGGTAGCTTCAGGCCAGCAGGGGGCACCCATGAGCTGTATGTCTGCAACTTTGCTGGCAGAAGCCCTGGGGGGAGCTCGGGTTTCTCCGTCTGGTGCCCACAAAGGGAAGGAAGGGGACCAGGGGCCAGAGCTGCCGTGGGAAGAACCAACTTGGAACTCAGTTAGGGAACCTGTGGGGTCTTAACTCCCCACACTGCTCACTCACTGTGTGACCTGGGGTGACCTCCCAAACCCCTCTTTCTCCTTCTAAAGTGGGGAGCCACCTGCCCCAGCTGGGCAGCTATCCCTGGGGAGCCCTCAGCTGGTGCTGACCACAGGCTTAGGATCTGCTTGGCCCCTAATTTTATTTATTTACTTATTTATTTATTTTTGCTGGTCCTGGGGCTTGAACTCTGGGCCTGGGCGCTGTGCTTCAGCTCTTCAGCACAAGGCTAGTGCTCTACCACTTGAGCACAGCGCCACCTCTGGTTTTCTGGTGGTTTATTGGAGATAAGAGTCTCATGGACTTTTCTGCCCAGGCTGACTTTGAACTGCGTTCCTCAGATCTCAGCCTCCTGAGTAGCTAGGATAACAGGTGTGAGCCATCCCCCCCCAGCCCATGTAGATGTTTGGGACAGATGTAATGTGGTAACAGCAATGACCTTGTCACCAACTCATAACGATGCTTTCCATCTGCCTGGCTTTGCCTGTGTGTTTTGAAATTACTTCATGGATGGTGTAAATGGAGAAACTATGGGCTCAGAGAGAGGTGTCAACAGCCAGAGTGTGTATATGTGTGTGTGTATGTCTGTGTGTCTGTATGAGTATGTCAGTACTGGGGCTTGAACTCTGGGCCCTAGGCTCTTATTTGGCTTTTTTTCCATTCAAGGCTGGTGTTCTACCATTGAGCCACAGCTCCACTTCTGGTTTGCTGGTTATTTGGAAATAAGAGTCTCACCGAGCCAGGCGCCTGTGGCTCACACCTGTAATCCTAGCTACTCAGGAGGCTGAGATCTGAGGATCATGGTTCAAAGCCAGTCCAGGCAGGAAAGTCTGTGAGACTCTTCAATAAACCACTTAGAAAACCTGGAAGTGGAGCTGTGGCTCAAGAGGTAGAGTCCTCGCCTTGAGCTGAAGAACTGAGGAACAACGCCCAGGCCCAGAGTTCAAGTCCCAAGACTAACCAAAAAAAAAAGAGTCTCACTGACTGCTCAGGCTGGCTTTGACCAGTAATCCTCATATCTCAGTCTTCTGAGTAGCTAGCATTATCCATATGAGCTACCTATGCTTTGAGTTCTGAACAGGGTCTGCAGGGCCTAAGTGATTCCCTGGACCTCAGTTTCTTCTTCAGCAATGAGGGTGGGGTAAGATACTGGGCGGGGGCGGGGGGGGGGATGGTGGTGGTGGGGGGAGTGCTGCCCCTGTCCCCAGCCTACCTCCACTCACATCTGCTGTGAAAAGGTAGCTGGGAGGGCTGGCTTGCTTGTGGCTGGAGTGCTCAGGAGGAGGGGTAGGAGGAGGGGGCCTGGGTGTTAGCTGCCCTGGACCCTGATCCTCCCCAGGTGTCCTGACTCTCCTCCCCCGCCCCCCACCCAGCCTTTCTGAAGGGCCTGAGCGATAAGCAGAGGGAGGAGCATTACTTCTGCAAAGACTTCGTCAGGCTGAAGAAGATCCCCACATGGAAGGAGATGGCGAAAGGTAGGCCCGCCTGTGCTGCCCAGGTGGCCCCTTCACACTCAGGCTTGTAAAACTCTGCCGGGAAGACTCCAGGGGCATTGCTTGAGTGCTTGCCCTGCCCTGTCACCTCGTTTAATTATTAATACCGCCCGAGGCCAGTGCAGTTTGTATCCCCCCAGGACCCTCAGGAAGCCGGCCCTAGACCATGTAAGCCACCTGCTGCTGATTACCTGGTTGTTGGGGCTGGAATTAGAAGCTGTGGTGGGCTGGTTTGCAGTGGGAGGGCTTGGATGAGATACCAGGCCCTGGGATGCGGCCTGGCCCCCTCAGACCCTGGGGCAGGTCACTGCCCTCCCCCAGCCTCACATTCTCCTGTACTAGGGCTTGAAATCAGGGCCTGGGCTTTGTCCCTTAGCTTTATTTATTTATTTATTTATTTTATTGTTGTTGGTCGTGGGGCTTGAACTCTGGGCCTGGGCGCTGTCCCTCAGCTCTTCAGCTTAAGGGAGCGCTCTACCACTTGAGGCACTGCACCACTTCCAGTTTTCTAATTTTTTTTTTGGAGATAAGAGTCTAATGGGAGCTGGGAAGGTGGCTCAGTGGTAGAGCGCTTGCCTTGCATTGAGGCCCTGGGTTCAATTCCTCAGCACCACGTAAGCAAAAAGAAAAAAGCCGGAAGTGGCGCTGTGGCTCAAGTGGTAGAGCGCTAGCCTTGAGCTGAAGAGCTGAGGGACAGCGCCCAGGCCCAGAGTTCAGGCCCCATGACCGGACCCCCCCCCCCCAAAAAAAAAAAAAAAAGAGTGTCATGGATTTTACTTCCTGGGCTGTCTTTGAACCACCATCCTCAGATCTCAGCCTCCTGAGTAGCTAGGATTACAGGTGTGAGCTGCCTGCACCTGGCTTTTTTTTTTTTTTGCTCATGCTCTACTTTTGGTTTTCTTTTTCCTCCTCCTTTTCTTCTTCTTCTTCCTCTTCCTCTTCCTCCTCCTCTTCTTCCTCTTCCTCCTCTTCCTCCTCCTCTTCCTCTTCTTCCTCCTCTTCCTCCTCTTCGTCTTCTTCTTCTTCCTCCTTCTCCTCCTCTTCCTCTTCTTCCTTCTTCTTTTCTGGTTAACTGGAGATGAGACTCATAGACTTTCCTAGGCTGGCTTTGAATCTCAATTCTTGGATCTCAGCCTCCTGACTAGCTAGGATTACAGATGTGAGCCACCAGCACCAGCCTCACTTTGCACATTGAGTAATGGCATCAGTGTTTTTTTTTTTTTTTGGTTCGGTCGTGGGGCTTGAACTCTGGACCTGAGCCCTGTCCCACAGCTCTTCAGCTCAAAGCTAGAGCTCTACCACTGGAGCTAGTGTCACTTCTGGTTTTCTGGTGGCTTATTGGAGATAAGAGCTTCACAGACTTTCCTGCCCGGGCTGGCTTTGAACCTCGATGCTCAGATCTCAGCCTCCTGAGTAGCTATGGTGACAGGTGTGAGCCACTGGCGCCCGGCTGGCATCAGTTTTGTCCCTGCCCTGGCACGGTTAGGAAGGTCCCCAGACACCTGGCACCCAGCATGCGTGAACTCGGTGTGGGCTGTCATCATTGCAAGCTGCCCTGAGGTAGGGCTGGGCCTGGCATGGGGTTTCTGGCTGGGTCCTTTGGCAGGAAGAGGCCCTGTTTGTGACCCTCACATCCCCCTCCCCTCCCCATTCCAGGGATGACGGGAAAGGTGGAGGAGCCCCAGTACAAGAAGGACAAGCAGCTGAACGAGAAGATCTCCCTGTTCCGAGGTGACATCACCAAGCTGGAGGTGGACGCCATTGTCAACGCCGGTGAGTGGCTGGCTTGAGCCAGAGGCCCCGGGTGGCCGCTTTGTTTGCCTTTGCTGGGGTCCGCCGTGCCAGGGATGTGTGGGCGCCGTCTGGTTCCCCAGAGGCTCCGAGGTGCCGGGCGAGGATGTGCGGCTGGCGCCACGGGACCCAGCGTGGTGGCCACTTAGCTTCGGCATCCCTGGGATGCCTGACCTGCTGGGTCGGGGGCATGCTCTGCCTCGCCGCCTCGCAGCAGCTCCGAGACCCATTAGCGGCGGCAGAGGGGGGGCACAGCTGGATGGGGCGGGGCTGCCCTGCCAGGAAGGCGGAGGCCAGCCCCCCTTCTACCCCCCAGCCCGATCCATGCTTGGAGAGCTGTGACAACTCTCCTTCCACCGCCTTCCACCCGCCCTGCTCACTTCGGAGCTGGGCAGGTGTGGGCGCTTGTGGACAGAAGGGAGGGGCCCAGCACGCCCCCCCCTCCCCCCGCCCCCCTGGCGCCTTTCCAGCCCATGGAAGTGAGAGCTTCTCAGCTTCCTGCTGGCGGCCAGTCGCCTCTTGCTGGCTTGACAATTCATCGCGATGAGAAGTCGGGGTGGCTGCTCTGGGGGCCAGCGAGGGAGGAGGGGGAGGGGAAGGAGGGTGGGGAGGACGGAGAGGAGGGGGAGGAGGGCAGCTGCTCCTCCATCTATCCAGTGGCTGCTCCTCCGGCCCAGGTCACAGGATCTGAGGAAGGGCTTGGCTATGGGGTGTCAAGGCTACATTAGGTCCAGCAGGGGCTCAGGCTCTTCTTTGTAGCCACTGAGTCCCAGGCTGGAGTTGGAGCAGGCATCTCTCCTGGCTGCCCCAGGGTATCAGGACAGACTCAGAAGTTTCTGGAATCTCCTTGACTCCCCGTGGGCTTGTAATAGCGGTGTCTGACCCCCGTGTTGACTAGAGGGCCTGTGCCTCCACGGCCCCCATGCGGTCCTGCTGATGCTGTTGCTGTCCCCCTTTTCTCCTGAAGTGCCCAGGCGGAGGGGATGCCCGCTCTCTGGGTCCGCATGGCGTGCCTGGCAGTGGTATCATTGCGCTGTGTGTCTCCCGACTGGTATCCTACTGGCGTAAACTGTGTCCCCACCCCTGTCGGGCCTGCCGCAGGTGCGCGGTGCCGATCCACACACAGGAATTCATGTGTGTGTGGGGTGCACTTGGGTCATCGTGGTTCTCTGCTGGGGGTTCTCGTGTGCCTCCCTTGGGCCCTGGGCACGAGTGGGTGGGAGTGAGGTCTGCAAGCCCATGTGGAGAGACAGCTGAGGCGGCCACACCGGGGCTGGCAGCCACCTTGGTGGCTTTGTGGGGGAGAGAGTTGTTGTTTTTTGTCGGTTGTGGGGCCTGAACTCTGGGCCTGGGCACTGTCTCTCAGCTCTTCAGCTCAAGGCAAGCGCTCTACCACTTGAGCCACAGCACCACTTCCGGCTTTCTGAGTGGTTCATTGGAGATCAGAGTCTCATGGACGTTCCTGCCCGGGCTGGCTTTGAACTGCGATCCTCAGATCTCAGCCTCCTGAGTAGCTATTATTACAGCTGTGAGCCACCGGCACCGCACGGGAGAGCATTCTTGCTGCTAGGGGCAGACGGGGCTGGGCTGACTGAGGGACAGTCCCAAAGCCACGTGACTGTCCTGCTGGGGGCCAGGCATTGCGAGTCACTGGCAAGGGGGAGGGAGGCACCCGCCCAATGCTTTTCCTGCTGAGGCACAAAGGGGCCTGAGGGAAAAGTGTGATGTGGCTTGGGGTCGGGTGAGGGCCCTGGGACTGAAGATGCACAGGTTCCAGAGGTTCAGGCCCGGCCCCTGGCTCTTCCTAAGCGCCCCGTGACTGACCTGACTGGATGTAGTGCTCTCAGCGCCTTGCTGAAAGTGCGGTGGAGCTGGGGGAGCTCTCCTTCTCCCTGGGCCTGCCTGGCCTTTTTCCTCCTCTGCACAGAGGGGCTGCTAGGGAGTCAGCCATCGGGTTCCTGGGGCAGGTGAGCTGTGCGTGTTCACCCAGTGCCAGCCACCCTGTCCCAGGTTACTGAGACTAAAGCCATGGGCATTGTACTCACCAACTTCCCCCTCCTGCTTGCCTCAACTTACCCACATCTCTTGGTGTGTTTTCCCACATTCTCCCTATTCTAGAAAGGGCTTCACCTGCCTGGTAGTTGATGAAGCAGGTCTTGAATACAGATTCCTATCCAGAGCCTGTGTCCCCAGTGATCAGGACAGCCTTGGCCCTGGTCAGACCTTGGGGGCCCTCTGTGACTCCCCTCCATGTCCCCAGGGGTTCCCCTGGTGTGGACTCCAACCCCCAGCCCTGCCACCCACCAGGGGGCAGCAGAGATCAAGGTTCCCGAGGAGCTGTAAATCAGCCTGTTTATTAGTGGAATAAAAAGTCTTGGCGACGTGGGGCTTCTGGAGGCTGCATAAATCTGCGTCTGTGCCTCGTGAAACCCATATGTGCTTAATTCATATGTAAAGTTTCAAGCAGGAAGAGAATACGTGTCCATTAAATTCTATTTGACTTGATTATAATCATTAGCCATGAATAATTGCTTCTCAGCTCCAACCACGGAGCCACCACAATGGGCTGGAGGAGAGAGCAATTATCTCGGGGTGAGAATTTTCAAATTCTTATTTTTTGAAGCCAGGGGTAGCATTGGTCCCGTGGGGATTTGGTGGTCCATGGAGACGGATGGGGGCTCAGGAGGGGCTGGAGGCTTGAGGTCCAGCCGGAGCCTCTGGGTTTCGTGAGTGTGTGTGTGTGTGTGTGTGTGTGTGTATATGGAGGGAGGAGGTCCCTTTTTGTCCCTTCTGCCAAATGGGGATGGGCGTCACCACCTGGTCCTCACTCCAGCTGGGAGGACATGGAGAGGCGGAGCAGGGGAGTTGGGGAGGGCCTGTGATGTAAAGGGGGGGTCTGGGTCCCCCAGCCTGAGGAGCTGGGGGCGGGGCATGGGCATGTCCCTGCACCGTGGAAGGCCTCAGAATGCTTCCTATCTCCCACCTCATCCTTTCCTGGGAACTTGGAAATGGGACACGTGTGTGTGTGTGTGTGTGTGTGTGTGTGTGTGTGTGTTGGTTCTGGAGCTTGCACTCAGGGCCTGGGAGCTCTCCCTGAGGTTTTTTTTTTGTCTTGAAAGTTATTTATTATACTAGGCTGGCATTTTCCCTGAGGTTTTTTATTCAAGGTAAATGCTCTACCATTTGAACCACATTTCCACTTCCAACTTTTTTTTATTTATTGAAGATAAGAGTTTCATGGACTTTCCTGCTGCTGGGGCTGGCTTTTTTGGGGGGGTCGGTCGTAGGGCTTGAACTCTGGACTTGGGTGCTGTCTCTGAGCTCTTTAGCTCAAGGTGAGCACTCTACCACTTGTCTTTGAACCGTGATCCTCAGATCTCAGCCTCCTGAGTAGCTAGGATTACAGGCGTGAGCCACAGGCACTTGGCTGGGGCTTTCTCCCTGGTCACCTGGCATTTGAAGTCCAGGGCTGGGCTTGGCCTCTGCTTGCCCAGTGTTTGGGATGTGATGGGGCGGTGGAGGCAGGCGTGTGCTGGGAGATGCGCATGCGTGGTGTGTGGCTGGAGTGGGGATGCTGGGGAAGAGAACAGATCAGGGAGCCTGACAGGTGAGCAGCAGGGCTAGAGGTCATGGAGACACAACAAATTCACTGGGCCCTCCCCAGCTCTGTCCCCACTGGCTGGTGGCCAAGGCTGCTTGCCGGGCAGCACCCAGGAGAGTCACAGGCCCCTGCCATCTGTGCCGGCCACGGCTCCTGCCCACAGGGGCACGCCGCATCCATCTTAATTAACTTGGCCTGCCAAGCCATGGAGATAAGTCAGGGAGGCCCTGAGGCCCCGTGGTGGAGAGGGAGATTGCTAGAGGGTAGAGTCAGCTTCTCTAGCTTGGCCTGTGACCCCTACGGCTATGTCTGGGGAGAGATGGGCCTAAGGTCTGTGCACTGCATTCCTTTTTTGGGGGAATAGTCCTGGGGTTGAACTCAGGGCCTGGGCACTGTCTCTGAGCTGCTTTTGCTCCAGGCTAGCACTCTACCACTTGAGCCACAGAGCCACTTCCAGCTTTTTCTGTGTATGTGGTACTGAGGAGTTGAACTCAGGGCTTCTTGCATGCTAGGCAAGCACTCTACCACTGAGCCACCTTCCCAACCTGCACTGCATTCCTGACACAAAGAAAGAACCCCATTCTTGCTGGATGTGGGTAGCTCATGCCTGTAACTCTAGCTACTTAGGATGCTGAAATCTCAGGATTGTGGTTCGAAGCCAGCCTGGGCAGGAAAGTCCGTGAGACTCTTATCTTCAATAAACTGTGAGAAAGCCAGACATGGAGCTGTGGTTCAAGTGGTAGAGAGCTAGCCTTGAGCACAAAAGCTCAAGGACAGCGACCAGGTCTTGAGTTCAAGCCCCAAGACCAGCCCCAAAAAACAAAAACAAAAACAAAACAAAACAAAAAATCAGAGATTGCCATTCTTGGCCAGGCCAGGGGTCTGATTGGTGTTGGGCCTTCGAGATAGGAGACAGAGCAGAGGTGTGATACTTGAACAGACAGGAGTCTCTCCCTTCAAAGCAGGCTCAGGATGGCACCCAAGGTTCTCGGACACAGAGGCCAGGCTCCTGCTGGCACCTCGGAGTCTGGGAGGGGGGTGGGAGGGGAGAGAGAGAGAGAGAGAGAGAGAGAGAGAGAGAGAGAGATCTCCCCCAGTAAATTAATACTGAGGACGTCAGGAGCAACTAAGTAGACTATAATGTGCCAAAGCGCCGGGAGGAAGAAAGGTCTGAATAAAGTACGTGCGACGCCACAGGGACCAATTAATTCTGCGAGGAGGTGGCAGGCCGGCGAGGGGGGCCGGGGAGGCCTTTGAGGGGCCTGGGCACGCAGGCTGGGCCGTGAAGAACAGGTGGAAAGCTATGTTTCACCGCGACAAGCTGGGCGCACAGGGAGGCTTTTAAGCCGCTTATTTATTTAAAATAAGGCATGAGTGGCGC